CTTGATGACCTGTTCACCTAGCAGTAAATAGATACCTGGGAGTTAGACAGCTGCTACTGGCTTCTTTCTAGGGGGTGTGTAACAAAAAGGAGGCCTGGTCGAGGACCGGGCCGCGTGGACGCTAAGCCCCGAAATCATCTCAAGATAACCTCAACATAAGATTGTTATTTTGTATGTGAAAGGAAAATATCAAAGGCCTATACACTAGCAAGTGGAACAAATGAACTGATAAGGCGGAAATGGAAGGAGCGAACAGCCTCGTTAGTTAGCGGTGGTTAGCGTTGCTTAGTGATGGTTAGCGTTGTTGAGACAGTAAGGTGAAGACATGGATTCTTCACCTGTTGCTCTTACGGACAGAGACGGAAATTGACGGAAGGTCGGATGGACAGGTGAACGGACGGATCTGAGGACAAACAAACGGACGGGATACTAAATGAACGGGTGTAGGGACGGGCAGAAGGCCGGATGAACGGAAGGACAGACGGACGGAAGGCCATATGTGCGGGTGGACAGATGAACAGGTGGAAAGACGGACGGAAGGCCGGATATACGGATGGGAGGCCGGATGAACGGATGGATAGACACGAACAACAGTAATAGCGGACGCATAAGAATTGGCTCATACCTACACCTGTTGGAGAGTGTATCGCTGTTTTCTTGGCTGAACGGTTTGGTTAGACCCAAGAGGCGCTGCGGTGTTTGGCTAGACCCAAGGGGCGCTGTGGTGTTTGGTTAGACCCAAGGGGCGCTGTGGTGTTTGGTTAGACCCAAGAGGCGCTGCGGTGTTTGGCTAGACCCAAGGGGCGCTGTGGTGTTTGGTTAGACCCAAGGGGCGCTGCAGTGTTTGGTTAGACCCAAGAGGCGCTGCTGTGTTTGGTTAGACCCAAGGGGCGCTGTGGTGTTTGGTTAGACCCAAGGGGCGCTGCAGTGTTTGGTTAGACCCAAGGGGCGCTGTGGTGTTTGGTTAGACCCAAGGGGCGCTGCAGTGTTTGGTTAGACCCAAGAGGCGCTGCTGTGTTTGGTTAGACCCAAGGGGCGCTGTGGTGTTTGGTTAGACCCAAGAGGCGCTGCGGTGTTTGGCTAGACACAAGGGGCGCTGTGGTGTTTGGTTAGACCCAAGGGGCGCTGCAGTGTTTGGTTAGACCCAAGAGGCGCTGCTGTGTTTGGTTAGACCCAAGGGGCGCTGTGGTGTTTGGTTAGACCCAAGAGGCGCTGCGGTGTTTGGCTAGACCCATGGGGCGCTGTGGTGTTTGGTTAGACCCAAGGGGCGCTGCAGTGTTTGGTTAGACCCAAGAGGCGCTGCTGTGTTTGGTTAGACCCAAGGGGCGCTGTGGTGTTTGGTTAGACCCAAGAGGCGCTGCGGTGTTTGGCTAGACACAAGGGGCGCTGTGGTGTTTGGTTAGACCCAAGGGGCGCTGTGGTGTTTGGTTAGACCCAAGAGGCGCTGCTGTGTTTGGTTAGACCCAAGGGGCGCTGTGGTGTTTGGTTAGACCCAAGAGGCGCTGCGGTGTTTGGCTAGACCCAAGAGGCGCTGCTGTGTTTGGTTAGACCCAAGGGGCGCTGTGGTGTTTGGTTAGACCCAAGAGGCGCTGCGGTGTTTGGCTAGACTCAAGGGACACTGTGGTGTTTGGTTAGACCCAAGGGGCGCTGCAGTGTTTGGTTAGACCCAAGAGGCGCTGCGGTGTTTGGCTAGACACAAGGGGCGCTGTGGTGTTTGGTTAGACCAAAGAATCTCTGTGATGTTTGGGTAGACTGCCTCAATTTGGATGTTGGTGAGCACTAAAAAGCGGGATGCTGGAACAAGATGTTCTCCTGTAAGATCACCAGCTTCCGTATCTCTGCTGTACTGAGCTCCATACAGCTAGTGGGGGAGGAGACCCATTTGCTTTGCCTGCCTGCCTGCCTGTGCCTGCCTGCCTGCCTGCCTGTCTGCCTGCCTGTGCCTGCCTGCCTGCCTGCCTGCCTGCCTGCCTGCCTGCCTGTCTGCCTGCCTGCCTGCCTGCCTGCCTGCCTGCCTGAGCCTTCCTGCCTGCCTGTGCCTGCCTGCCTGCCTGCCTGCCTGCCTGCCTGTGCCTGCCTGTGCCTGCCTGCCTGCCTGCCTGCCTGCCTGCCTGCCTGAGCCTTCCTGCCTGCCTGCCTGTGCATGCCTGCCTGCCTGCCTGCCTGCCTGCCTGCCTGCCTGAGCCTTCCTGCCTGCCTGTGCCTGCCTGCCTGCCTGCCTGTGCCTGCCTGTGCCTGCCGAGAATGGTGTCCATCAAGTGTTAATTATCAGTGACTTACATACCCGAGAATGTACAGTATAAAGTAGCACCACTTAACTCTCTACACACAACACACAACCACTTAACTCTCTACACACAACACACAACCACTTAACTCTCTACACACAACACACAACCACTTAACTCTCTACACACAACACACAACCACTTAACTCTCTACACACAACACACAACCACTTAACTCTCTACACACAACACACAACCATTTAACTCTCTACAAACAACACACAACCACTTAACTCTCTACACACAACACACAACCATTTAACTCTCTACAAACAACACACAACCACTCAACTCTCTACACATCACACACAACCACTTAACTCTCTACACACAACACACAACCATTTAACTCTCTACAAACAACACACAACCACTCAACTCTCTACACATCACACACAACCACTTAACTCTCTACACACAACACACAACCACTTAACTCTCTACACATCACACACAACACACAACCACTTATCAATGATTAACGTCTCTCACTCCCGCATATTACAGAATTATAAGTACTGGTGGATGAATTTCTAATGAGTTAAGTGAGGGTAGGAAAGATTAACTAAGTGAGGGTAGGAAAGATTAGTGCAAGTTAAGCACGAGAGAGGGAAGGAGGGGAGCGAGCGAGGGGAAGCCGGCACAGAATAACTGCCAGGGGGGATGTAAGGGGAGAAGATGGATAACAGGAACGGAGATTAAAAAAAATGGAAGATAATTGAAAATAACAGTATGGGATGGATGATTTTCGGATGGAAGAGGGATGGGTGGAAGGGATATGGGTGGAATAGAGACGAGGTAGTCACACATACACTATTAATTTTAGCGCTGTCAACGACAGCATCAAATGTGGTGCTTTCCTGAGACTGGTGATTTAGAGAAATGATGTGGTGGTGGTGGTGGTGGCGATGGTGGTGGTGGTGGTGGCGATGGTGGTGGTAGTGGTGGTGGTGGTGGCGGCGATGGTGGTGCTGGTGGTGGTGGCGATGGTGGTGGTAGTGGTGGTGGTAGTGATGATGGTGATGTTTTTTTCAGGGATATCCTGTACGGGCCCTAAGCCTCTGGCTGGCCCACTAAGTGTTGCTTGTTTCTGTTTTACTTGGGCGGAGTATGAGTATTTATGACTCGTATGGTCGCTTCAGTAAGATTTTGTCCCATGTGTTTAACTTCTTCTGCTCTTCTTGGTGGTGGTGATAGTGGAAACGTGTACAACAGTAGTGTGTCAGTTGAGAGGCGGGACCGAAGAGCCGAAGCTCAAACCCTGCAAGCACAACTAGGTGAGCACACACACACATACACACACACACACACACACACACACACACACACAGTATAATCGATCCTAGATGTTACCTTGAGGTAGTTCCGAGAGTGACTATTCCCCACGGCCCACTCTCTTAACAAGGCTACCTGACTGGTTATCAAATCAACCAGGCTGTTAGACTCCGCACTTTGCAGTCTGACTCAAAAGAGTATATGCCCGCCATATTCTCATATTTCCATAGTATACCCTATGCATTACCGGTGTTACATTAACCTCTCCTCCTACAAAGAACGTTGCCCGACCGTCCAAGTGGTTGGGCACCATTCCTTCCCCCCGTCCCATCCCAAATCCTTATCCTGACCCCTTCCAAGTGCTATGTAGTAGTACTAGCTTGGCGCTTTCCCCTGATAGCTCCATTCCATTCGCCCGTATGCGTTACATACGGCCAAAAATCGTTGTACTGGAAAATGGCAGCGGCTGGCAAAAGTGACGTACTGTCGCGTTTTCTGTTTTAGGTCCTCTGGCAGGTTAGGAGAGACTACTTTAAAGACCGATTTCTTGACGTTGGAGAACTTTAGGAATACGGGCTAGTGACATACCACAACTCCAGAGTGAAACCAAAACGGCATTTTACGACGTATCATTAAAGAGACTGGACGGTGTAATCACTGATATAACTACTTAATCACTCGTAATTTTATAACAAGAAGAGAAAGAGGAGACTAATTACACCAGGAAGAGTACGCATTAGTCGGCAATTAGGGTCATGTGATAGCCCTGAACGACAGGGTAATATTAGCCAGAGTGGGTGTGAACGGCACGATAGCGAGGCCAGAGTGGGTGATAACAAGATAACGAGGCCAGGGTGGGTGTGAAAGACAAGATAACGAGGCCAGGGTGGGTGTGAAAGACAAGATAACGACGCGAGGGTGGGTGATAACAGGATAACAACGCCAGGGTGTGTGATAACGACAGGATAACGACGCCAGGGTGGGTGATAGCAACAGGATAACGACGCCAGGGTGGGTGATAACGACAGGATAACGACGCCAGGGTGTGTGATAACAACAGGATAACGACGCCAGGGTGGGTGATAACGACAGGATAACGACGCCAGGGTGGGTGATAACGACAGGATAACGACGCCAGGGTGGGTGATAACGACAGGATAACGACGCCAGGGTGGGCGATAACGACAGGATATCAACGCCAGGGTGGGCGATAACAACAGGATAACGGCAGGTTTTTACGTAATTAACCAATCCATTAAGAATGCGACACACTTGTAAACAAAAATCAAGTACCGTATTGTTGACGTTTTCTATATGTCAGCCTCGATAGGTTAGGCGGGTTGCTTGGGTTCATACGTTCCTGGCTAGGCGTAACAGTCGTATTTTTTTGGTGAATCGTGAGAATGGAGTGAACCTTTCGTTAGAAAACCTGAAATTTCACAAAGTTACAAAGTAATCTAGATCATCAAAGTAACCCATATCATCAAAATAATCTAGATCATCAAAATAATCTAGATCATCAAAGTAATCTAGATCATCAAAGTAATCTAGATCATCAAAGTAATCTTGACTATCATAGTAATCTTGATTATCAAAGTAATCTAGATTATCAAAGTAATGTAGATTATCAAAGTAATGTAGATTATCATAGTAATCTAGATCATCAAAGTAATCTAGATCATCAAAGTAATCTTGACTATCATAGTAATCTTGATCATCAAAGTAATCTAGATCATCAAAGTAATCTAGATCATCAAAGTAATCTAGATCATCAAAGTAATCTAGATCATCAAAGTAATCTAGATCATCAAGTAATCTAGATCATCAAAGTAATCTAGATCATCAAAGTAATCTTGACTATCATAGTAATCTTGATCATCAAAGTAATCTAGATCATCAAAGTAATCTAGATCATCAAAGTAATCTAGATCATCAAAGTAATCTAGATCATCAAAGTAATCTAGATCATCAAAGTAATCTAGATTATCAAAGTAATCTTGATCATCAAAGTAATCTAGATCATCAAAGTAATCTAGATTATCAAAGTAATCTAGATTATCAAAGTAATCTTGATCATCAAAGTAATCTAGATCATCAAAGTAATCTAGATTATCAAAGTAATCTTGATCATCAAAGTAATCTAGATCATCAAAGTAATCTAGATTATCAAAGTAATCTTGATCATCAAAGTAATCTAGATTATCAAAGTAATCTTGATCATCAAAGTAATCTATATCATCAAAGTAATCTAGATTATCAAAGTAATCTTGATCATCAAAGTAATCTAGATTATCAAAGTAATATAGATCATCATAGTAATCTAGATCATCATAGTAATCTAGATCATCAAAGTAATCTAGATCATCAAAGTAATCTAGATCATCAAAGTAATCTAGATTATCAAAGTAATCTTGATCATCAAAGTAATCTTGATCATCAAAGTAATCTAGATCATCAAAGTAATCTAGATCATCATAGTAATCTAGATCATCAAAGTAATCTAGATCATCAAAGTAATCTAGATCATCATAGTAATCTAGATCATCAAAGTAGTTTGTATAGTTAAAGTAATTTAAACAAAGAATGAAAATAAATCAGCCTTGGTTTTTGTCACTCCGTAAAAAAGGTAACCTTTTAGCCTAACCAGGAGTGCACGAACCCCAGGCAACCCACCTAACTTACCGAGTCCCAGGCATAGAAAACGTGAACAATTGTGAGCCGTAACGTTTCTAAATAGGCTGCATTTGTAACGTAGGTTACGAGAACGTAAAAAAGAGCGACCTATCAGTGGAGAGGCCGGGTGGAATATATACAAGGCGGTGCTGTAAATAATTAAGGACTGCATCTGTAAAATATTTAACTACTGTAAGGAGAGAACGATGCTGTAAAGTGAGACGCCGTGCAGCGCTGTACCAGAGTCCTCCCTGCCTCCTGGCTCATCTGGGCCCCTGCAGTAGTGCCAGACTCATCACCATCTCTGGGCCCCTGCAGTAGTGCCAGACTCATCACCATCTCTGGGGTCCTGCAGTATTGCCAGACTCATCACCATCTCTGGGGTCCTGCAGTATTACCAGACTCATCACCATCTCTGGGGTCCTGCAGTATTGCTAGACTCATCACCATCTCTGGGGTCCTGCAGTATTGCTAGACTCATCACCATCTCTGGGGTCCTGCAGTATTGCTAGACTCATCACCATCTCTGGGGTCCTGCAGTATTGCCAGACTCATCACCATCTCTGGGGTCCTGCAGTATTGCCAGACTCATCACCATCTCTGGGGCCCTGCAGTAGTGCCAGACTCATCACCATCTCCTCTGGGCCCCTGCAGTATTGCCAGACTCATCATATCATCACCCTGCAGGCTGAGAAGGCCAACATACAGGCAACCTACATCATGAAAGTAATCATCTAATGCGGTTTCTTACTGAACATAAAATGATTAAATCATGTTAAAAATAAATGAAAAGTAAACAGAGATATGAATATGATAGAATATGATGATGAATATGGTAGAGGAGAAGCAGGAAGATGAGTATGGTAGAGAGAGGCAGTATGATGACTATAATGAAAACAACGGAACAAGGTCATTGTTTTAGGAACAATTTAAAACAAATAACGAAACAAGTGAACTTGTAGAAAGCTGGAACAATAAAAATTAACCTCTAAGCATAATAAGATAATAACGACGATAATAATAACAAAATAATTTAATAATAATATTAATAAAAATAATAATAATAATAATAATAATAATAATAATAATAATAATAAATAATGCATTCTAGAAATATACAAAACAAAAATCTTTTAATACGAATAACGGCAACAAAAAACTATAATCACATTTGCACACAAATTTGCCAAACTACAGATTTTGCGACCAAGATCAATACTGAATTAACGTGAGCGTGGAAAAGTTTGCACAGGCTGGGGACGCACAAGTGCACAAGTGCACAAGTTTGCCACAGACATTAACACAAGTAGTGACCTGATCACACCAATGATATATATAAGTCAACGGCGAATTATGGCAGAAAACTCTCAACACTTAATGTGTGTGTGAGAGAGAGAGAGAGAGAGAGAGAGAGAGAGAGAGAGAGAGAGAGAGAGAGAGAGAGAGAGAGAGAGAGAGAGAGAGAGAGAGACTGAGACAGAGACAGAGAATCGTTTATCAAATTACTGCAGCAATAAAACACGGGAAAAGGCCGCCACACACCAACACAAACATCAGCAACACGACAAACACCGCTTTTCTTAACAACTGTGAGAAAATGGCCTACATAAATTATAAGACGCCGCGTGGAACAGGTACACTCATATCCCTCCCCCTCTCCCCGCTCCTCCTCCCCACACACACACACACACACACACACACACACACACACACACACACACGTAGGTCAGAGAACTCCTTTGTCAAAGCAATTAAGTCTCCACTGGAAATAATGAACTGTATTAGAAAAATGCAAGAAACCTGAGACCAAGTTCATAGCCCTTTTAAGACTTCAAAACAGAAACCACAACACTGATCAGTGGTTCGAAAGGCGGTGGCTACAAGGGCAAGAGAATAGGTAGAAGGAATCAGAGAAGCGGTATGAAAAATCCATTCCAGTTCCACCTTATACATACCCACTTAGTCCTAACTGTGGGATTGAAAGGAAGGATTCGATATCCGATGGTGCAAGTGGTTGGGCACCATTTTTCAATCCGTCATATCCCAGCTCCTTGTACTCATATCCCAGGTCCTTGTTCTCATATCCCAGGTCCTTGTTCTCATATCCCAGCTCCTTGTCCTCATATCCCTTGCAGATGCTATAAAATCATAAAGTCTTATTAGCGTTTTCACCCCATACTTACCTTACCTTGAGAGCCAGAACTCCCACTGGATCTGGAGAAGCAGATTATACGTAGTAAGGAGACGTCAGAAGAGAAGTGACGATGATAGGAACCCGTCACGATGGCAACTGGAGTGTCAGGCTAAATGGAACTGGATCCTAAAACCCACAGCTGGGGTATTGAACCCCCTCTGGCTACAAACACCTCCATTGTTTTACTGAGGAAGAGTATGTCTAAGGAAGCTGTTAAGAGTTCTTTGACAAAATGACAGCGATTGAAGGAGAAAAGAGCGGGCTGACTGTGTATTCCTTGGCTGTCAGAAAGCATGGGATATAGTATCACAGGAGAAGCCTCTGAGAGAGGGTACCTCCCGGGTAGGAAACAGATGTTGACGGTGAGAGAGACAGATGTAGGCGTTGTGAAAGCTTAATATTATCATCCGGTATTGTTGTCCTCGTCCTAAGGTAATATTATCCTCATCTTAGGGTAATATTATCCTCATCCTAGGGCAATATTGTCTCATTCTTTCGTAATATTATGCTAATCTTTCGGTAATATTGTCCCAATCCTTCAGTAATATTGTCCTCATCCTTCGGTAATATTGTCCACATCTTTCGGTAATATATGCCCTAATCCCTCTGTAATATTGTCCTAATCCTTCAGTAATATTGTCCTAATCCTTCAGTAATATTGTCATGATCCTTCGGTAATATTATCCTCATCTTTCGGTAATATTGTTCTAATCTTCAGGTAATATTGTCCTAATCCTTCGGTAATATTATCCAATTTCTCCGGTATTATTGTCCTCATCCTTCTGTAATATGTTCATCTATTAGGAATATTGTCCTCATCTTCCAGTAATTGTGTCCCCCATCCCAGGGTAATATTAACCCTTCCTCAAGGTTAGATCACCATCCCCGCTACACCCTAGTCTATGTTGCCCCTTCCTCCCCTGTCCCATCCCCCCCCCCCCTCGTCCCCCCGTTAGTAACATCAGCTTGGCCGTGTTGACAACCTTCCAGCCGGACATTTTGACAGGCGGTACATTACTTCGTGGGCCGCGGACCGCTCTCCCTCTCCCCCTCTCCCCAAGACCGGAGATCTCTCACCCCTTCTCTCTCCCCTAGGACCCCTGGAGGCCTTATCCTCCTCCCCCCCCCCCCTTTACACCTTTCCCAGCTTAGGGACGGGGGGGGGGGATTGAATCCTGTATAGGTACGTTACTGGTGGAGATACAATGTTATCGAGGATGATAGATTATGGAGAATGGGTTTTCGTCTATAAAACATTTCATTGAATATATTGCAGTGTGGTATGACTCTCTCTTGCGTCCAAGAGAACCGCAGTGCTACAAGCTGGTTGTGGGAGTTTTGGTGGTCGTAACAACGGAATACTGGTTGGAATAGTGGTAGTGGTATTGGTGGTTATTGTAATGGAAGTAATGTTGGTGAGAGTAGTAGTGGTAGGTCTAGTTGTAGTAATTGTATAAGGGGATAGCAATAGTAATTGTGGCAGTAGTAGAGGTTGTAGTAACAATAGTTTCTCATTGAGATTTCTTGCAGCATTCCTTCATTCCTAATGAGCTTATCTGCACATTGTAATGCAGTATGATGGCATGTTGTTATCTTTACGGCGGCTGGCTGAAGTGGAGACTGGGGGAGGAAACCAAAACACTTTTCTGCCCTGAAATCTGGCTATATAGGGTGTGTGTAGGTTTGGTGTCAGCAGATAGCCTCCGGGAAGAATAGGGTCTTCCATTTTACCCCATGTCTGCCGTAGTCCTCCTCCTGCAGCGTCGCCTGCGGTGTGTCTGTCTGTCTCTCTCTCTGCCTTAGGCTCCAGATATTTATATGGTGCCTCTCTAATCGCTAGTCAGTCCTGATAGTATATTACGAGCGGCAGCGATCGTCATTGGCAGTGCCGCCCACCCTTGGTGAAGGTAGGAATGTGTCGCCCCTTCCCGCTGTCCCCCACACCACCGCCGTAATTGAAGAACTAGGCATCAAATGACCTGTCTTCATTACTCATTGATCACTTTATTAGAGCGACGTCTCCTCACCCCCTCCCGCTACTCGTTCACATTCGCGGTAATCATCGCCGTTGTCTACATATATTCGTGACTGACTCAACGACAGACACCAGTCACCTGTCCAGGAGACTCCCCCAGACCTTCCTAATAGCACTCCGAGGACCGTAAAGCCTTCCCTTTGATCTTCCCGGTCCGGCTACACACTATCGTGTAGCAGGCCGACACAAGACTCATCTTCCTGCCTCTCAGGTCGCTGGTAAGCGCACGCACGGAGTCTCCACCACTGTTGATTGTCTTCAGTTTTGGCTGTTAGTCACCGTTGTGTCACCCCGGGTCGTCTAGTCTGCCACAGGAGGTGACACCGCCGCCTCCTCCTGCTGTCACGAGATGTAGACCTATACCCTATGTGCTGCCCTTACCTACTCGTAGCAGCCTCTCTGTATCATAGTGCTTTGTAGGATGTTAGACACTTTCTGTATCCAAGGGTTCTCTAAGGTCCTGAACACTTTCCGTATCCAAGGGTTCTCTAAGGTCCTGAACACTTTCCGTATCCAAGGGTTCTCTAAGGTCCTGAACACTTTCCGCGTCCAAGGGTCCTCTGGGGTCCTGAACACTTTCCGCGTCCAGAGAACTGTTCTGTCACTGAACGATAGTCTGCTTAACATGAAAGATTTTCGATTAACTGCTGGATGGTCCCTTACCTGGCAGGATTATAGAACACGAAACAATGGGTATACATTGGATACGTTTAGATTTAGGAAAGACCTGGGTAAATACTGGTTTGGAAACAGGGTTGTTGATCTACGGAACAAATTACCGGGTAACATTACAGACGTGAGATTCCTTGATTGTTTCAAATGCAGGTAGGTATATTTATATATATATATATATATATATATATATATATATATATATATATATATATATATATATATATATATATATATATCTATATATGCGAACAAGCCTGAATGGTCCCCAGGACATATGCAACTGAATTATATATATCTATATATATATATATATATATATATATATATATATATATATATATATATATATATGAGTTTGGGTGGATATATATATATATATATATATAGGAGCTGCCTCTTGTAGATCATAATTCATATACTCTTACGTTTGTGATTAATAATTGTTTTTGTAATTTTGCGTTTTGGTTACAAACTTCTAGACTTTTGTTTAACTCTTATTTTAAATGTAAAGTATTTTCGCTCTATCTTCAGTCTATTATTCGCATT